CAGTGTGGGGGTTTGATTTTTGAGACATGGAATTGAATCCCTTGTAGGCGTAGTGTACAGACAACTCTTGTTCGTTGACCTACTGAGGCACATCCCACGTTTTACCTCCCTCACACAGCATTGGGGGCAGAGTGGTGGAAGCCCTCAAGGTTGGGGTTCAACCTTTTTAATAATTAATCATTAACTATTTTCTATCTCTACACACTCAATCCCTCATCTCTCTCCAAACATAAATTTACCTTTTCATAGAGAGAGAAGATAAAAATAAAAATAAAAATAAAAAATGTTGAGAGAGAATCCTTTTCTTACTCTGTTTTCTATCTATCAAGCTATGTTTGCAAAAATGAAATGCATATACATACAAATATTATACATATACAAATAGCTATAAATTGATGAAAAGAATTTTCGTGTTTTTATTAATATAATGCAGAAATCTCTAATTATTTTCAATAAACTGTTGAAGAAAGCACTAGTTGAGTCCAATTCGTTTCACATTTTGTCGAAAATTTTCGCGATCTGAAGGTGTCTATTATACCACCATTTCATAACGATGGCATTTTGGCAGAAATGTGATTGTATTGGGTATCCGTTAGACGAGGACATTTTTACCCAATAAAGAATAAAGGTGTAGATCTAGTTTTGAGTAACTGTAGTTTGTGGTATGTTTGATGGCGGAGTGGTGGTGGTGGTGGTGGTGGTGGTGGTGGTGTGGTTGTGGCAGATGTCGAAGTGATGTTGATTTTGGATTAGATGTAGATATAGTGGTTGTAGTCCAAGAGTTGGTGGTGGGCTGTGGTGCAAGTGGTGGCGGTGGGCTGTGGTACAGGTGGTGATGATGGATTGTGGAACTGGCTTTTTGTGGTGTGGTGGGTTGTGGTACAGATGGTAGGAATGGTGGTGGTACATTACAAGTGGTGGAGGTGGATTGTACATTTGAAGCGACGTCGATTATATGGGTGACATCAACAATGGTGGAACAATTTACAAGTCACAAATCACATGTAATAAGTTCACATGTCATGTTGCATAGTTCATATGTCACTGATATAAGAAAACTGGTTATAGGTCATTGGATCAATATCATATGTAAGAGTTCATAGTTCATAGATCACATCTACCAGATCACAAGTCATTGTACATAGGTCACGGATAAAAATATCCACTTGTCACAAATCAAATAGAATTGATCACTGATCATGTTTGCATGTCAAACGTCACACTCTACAGGACACAGACCACATTGTATATGCCACAAATCAATGTAAACAAGTCATAGAATAAAATTAACCGGTCATAAAATCATATGTCACATGTCTTTATGCACTAATAATATGTCACAGATTTAAGTTCATATGTTATAGGTAACAGTTCATAGGTCATATTGTATAGATAATAAATTAGTGTCCACAGGTTACAAATCCTAGAGAACTAGTCACAAACTATTGGATCAATAACATTTAACAGCTTACAGTCACATATCATAGTGATTAAGTCTCAAAATTCTAAAGAACTGGTTACAGGCCATTGTTTCTCCGGCCTCAGTTGTTATCGTTGCTTTCAAAAATCCTAATAGACGGTGTCACAGCTTCCAATAACCAAATTTCACCGGTGAGAATATAGTTATTTGCTCCAACTCTCTATAGATTCTTTCTTTATTTTATCGTCGGATACACAGTGCTGATAATTTCTAATTTGTGACCTAAATCATCTGATAAGTTTCAATTAACTAGATTTCAACCATGAGAATTGAAATTATTTGCTCCCACGAGTTCTCTATAGATTCTATCTTTATTCGATCTTTTGATAGCTTCAAAATTTTGACCTCAATAGTCCGATGATTTTTGAACAATCAAATTTCGACGATTTTAACAGAGAATATTTGATTTGGAGAGGTCTCAGTGGCTCTTCTATTTCTCTCGATCTTTACAATTTGTTATTTTGGAGACTTTCGTTTAGAATGTTAACTCTGAAAAGCATTATTTTAGGATGTATAGTTAATATAATTTATTTTACATATAATATTTACTAAATATCATCCGAGTTTTAAACTTTTAAAGTTTGTCTCAAAAATGAAATGTAGTAGGGTAAAGAACTTATGTATTCTTCCCTCATGATAAATAGCATTATTCTCTTCTAAGGAACTACTAAAGCATTACAGATTTAATCAAAATAAATAAAATTTGCTCATTCCAATTTATGAAATACTAAAAAAATTATATGAGAAAAAGTTGTACATTTATTCAAGTTCGATACAACATTATTAGAAGAATATATGTAAATAATATCGATTGTAAAATAAAATTATTCTTCACTATCTATTTAAAGGTGGTGGAGCTATAAAAGGTAAAGCTACTGAAAATTAAAGGCTTAGAGCGGTTCCCTAGTTATTTTCTATTGTTCCATCAAATGCACACAACAGTCCTAACAGTTGGAGACACGTTAGACCGCGACAAGTAGTCGACTCCTATTTACGCACATCAAAAAATTCAAATTTCAAAACTGTTTAGAAGTTATTTAGACTTTCAGAAAGTAGAATAGACTCGTCCTTTTGAAGAGGTCTTTTGACTTGTTGATTGAAGCTCATGATTGTTGTGGCGAAGTGCATGTAGAGTATTTGCTAAGGCATTTCACCTCGGTTAGCCTTTTTTTCCCATTCTGCAGTCGTCAGAGAATTACTTGACATGTTGGATAAGGTGTATTAGGGGAAAAAAATTTAAAATCTCCTCCATTAGATCCTCGTGTCCTAAATTTTCATCTTCTATTGGCAATGACTCCGGAGGGGAGAAGAGGTATCCGGGCAATGTATGGTGATATTTTCTGCCTTGTAGCGTAGAACCACTTCTATCAAAAATTATAGGAAAGATAAATATGAACTTGGTCAGCAGTGCAATTCATGAATCCTAGAAATGTAATAGTTGCTATTTTGCACTAGTATTTGAGTTTCCACAATGTCCAAGATCTCAATCTAGAAAATCAAATTGCAAATGTCAAATCTTGCACTTGTTTGATGCCCATTAAAAAAATTGTTTTGGAAAAAATGAGTCATAGAATAATAATTTTTTGGAAGGGTTATGCTACACGCACATTAAGATGTTCATAACGGGATTCACCCCTCTTACGTAAAGGAGGACCCACTTCGAATAAAATATAATTTATTTATAGTAGATCCCCCTTTTCATGTGAGGAGGGTAGATACAATTATAAACATCGCATTATATACAAGTAACATATTTCTTTTTGGAATGTGTAATTAAAAAATAATGAAAATTTTTAAATTTACGTGAAAAATATTTTATGGAAAATTTTCATAAATAAGAATTTAAGTATAAATGTTTCAAAATCAAGAAAACAAGTTTCAAATTTCAAAAATTAAATTTTTATTAAAATTTATTTATAATTTAATTAAATTATTTATTAATTAAATATATTTAGGTCACGAATCTATAAAATTTGGTCACAAATGAACAATCTAATTAGTCATTTATTATTTTTTGATCACAAATAAAAAAATTTATGTCACAAATTATTTTATGATCATAATTTAAAAATTTTGTAGATCATAATTTGTTCATCAATCACAAATCAGAAATTTATTTAGTCACAGATTAATTTAGTCACAACTTATCAAATTGTTAGTCACAAATCAAAAATTTTATAGGTTACAGAATCAAAACTTTTATTGATCACAACTTATTTATTCATCGCAAATTATTATATTAATTGGTCACGATTAATTTTTCGATCATAAATTAATCATTTGTGAGTCACGAACAAAACTTTTAGATCACATATTACAAATTAACCAATTACTGACCATAATCAACCAAACAATTGGTCACAAGCATCCAACCCTATCTCATACTACCCATGACCACCGCCACGAACACCACGACCACCATTATCGCCACCACCAACACAGAGGACCAGTCACCACAGTGACCCCCACCATAAGCACCACGGACACCAGAACCACCATCACCTCACCACAGTACCCATAACACCACCATCGCACACCGCACAACCCACAGTAGACACTGGAACCATCGTCACCTCAATACCTACACCACCACTGCCACGCCCATAACACACCACCATCACACACTGCACAACCCACAGTGGACACTAGAACCACCATCACCTCAGTATCTGCAACACCATCGCCACATCCAAAACACACCACCATCGTACACCACATAGCCCACGACACACCGCCACTACCAACATCTCCTCTATCTCCTTTCACACCACACGCAACCACCACCCTCAATAAAGAATCCACCAACCCGTCGTTGCGACTACCACCACATAAAAAATCGCAACAAACCTACGGTGCTGTGAACGGCAACATCAAGAATCCACAAATCCACGCCACTACCATTTGATGTGCCCGAACCCAACGCAGATCGGAGGTAGGGTGTTGATGCGTTGCTGTTAACGGTAACGCAGCGACCTACTACAGCGATGGACAATGCTTAGCTGGCTACGATGCACAGTGTTGGCAACTCCAGTGAAGAGAGGTAGAGTGAGCAAGACGTAGAGAGAGAGAGAGGAGGGGGAATTGTTGGGATTTGGAATGAAAATTACATAGTTAATATTTAATATTTAAAAATGAAATATCTGATTTGTGAAATGTGAAATTTGCCATCTGAATTTAGAACTCACATCTTTAAACATAGGATTTTGTATAATTTCCACATATTTTATTGTGAAACTGATTTTTGAAGAAAGGTAAACAAACAGACGCCTAGTCTGTTTGATGCAGTTCACTGCCTCGGCTTGTTTGGGGAAAATATGCTTCCTAGTAACCTTGGCAATTAAGCCTCCTGTAAATAACATATAATAACTAGCGTACCTAGATCATAAGAGGGGGAAAAATAATTAAAAAATAAAAATAAAAAAACAAGAAGGTTTTCCACAAAATTTGCATACCCAAGACAACACCGAGAACCAATATTATCTTCCTTCAGAAGGAAAAGAAAAATGCTACCAAAAAAAAATAAAAAAATTTACAACTTCAATCCCTAACCTCACTTACAATCAGTTCTAAGTACATTTCTACAGGTATCTTACATATGCTTCCACTGAATTCTGCCAACCAACGCTCATAGCTCATAAATTGGGCATATAAATAAACCAGATCCCTAAAATCATGTCTGGTTTGATTACAATGCAATAATGACTCCATAAATAGAGAGACAAAAGACTATATCATGCGCACCAACTTCATTAACTTCTCTTTTCCACTGCAATGAATACACAAAGACCATATCAGATAAATGTATGCACTCAAGAGGGTGAAAGCAAGCAATTAAAGATGGCTAAACTAGTCAGAAAACCTTAAGAACCCATTCAGTATGGGATAAGGCTACACAATACAGTAAATAACATTTTAACTTCCTTTTGTTTTCAATACTATCCAATACTACTGTTTAGTCCACTTTATTAGAAAAGCTACAAGTCTCTAACAGCTGGAACTGCAAAATTGCATGCATAATATTATAAAACGCCTAAAGATCTAGACAAAGGGCTCACAGGCACAGAGACACACACCGAGTAATGATACATCCTTTTTTGTATCTAAATCCAAAATGAAAAGGTATACTTTTTTGCTCTATACTCGGATTCTTCGAAATGGTTGGAGTACCTGTGTCAGACACAACATGGCATGACATGGGTATGGGTATGTGATGTGTCTGATACTCCAAGTTTCAAACAGACACTACACTGTTTTTTGCTTCTTCTTTCTTTTTTTTTTTTTCCCCTATAAACCTTGCGCCACCTCCAAGAGGGTGGAGAAAGGCGACGGCACAAAATTTTCCTTCCTTCTTTCTTTTTTCTTTCTTTTTTCCCTTATTTCCCTCTCTGTATCAGTGGTTTTGGGTTTTGTTTGTATAAAATGAAAATGGATTCCATATACTACTTAGTGCTCCACTAAATTCAAATTACAATCAAGTCCCTCATTTTCTATTTTATATAATATTTAGTAATTAACTTCTTATAATTGAAAACTAAACTCCAAAATTTCCATTTTATTTTTGTCTTAACCTCTTATTCAATACTATTTCCTTATTTGTGAACAATTGATTTTGATATATTCAAAATAACATCTTGAGTTAGTAAAAAAATTGAAATTTGAAAGATGCACTTATGTAACCGTGTCCAAAATTTAGACTCTTTTTAACCATATCCCCGTATTCTATACTTTAGAAAATAAAAGATCCGACACTTAGATACATACCCGTACCTGATACCCAAACTTGAGTCCGAACATCATAGCTTTTTTGTATGCAAAATCTCATTTGGTAATATTTGCAGTTTCTAGGATTTTCAAAAACCCATTAGTGTGTGCAACCTATGAAGGGGGTAAACTAAAGGCTAAAAAATTTTAGTGAACTGGATAATTTGGAATAAATAAAAAAATCACAAATTTTGGCAAATCTATTGAAGGGTTTCCTAATTCCTATGCCACCATTGACATCCTATCTTTTCAGTTCATACTATCAAGTGAGTTAAGTATACATGATAGATAACTCTTTTGAAGAAAATAAAATACAAATTCAGCCGATCATGATGGCAGTGAACAGCCTATATGGCGTGAGAGATCTACTAACATAGGCCTTCAAGTACAAAAGGAAAGTTCCATCAACAACATATATCTGGACAGGAATGATCTCCTAAGCACTGATGACATAGCACGCCATTTAATTGGTGAATCGTTAAATAAATGTGATCTACCATTAACTTATTCACCAATTAAATAATGTTTCATGTCACCGGTGCTTAACATAAGCTAAGTACCGATACTTAAGAGATCATTTTCGCATATTTGGAATTGCTAAATAACGTTTAAGCATCAAATTTAACCACAGTCCACAACACAAAACCTTGAAGAACATAATAAATTACAAACATCCCAAAACATGAACATTAAGCTAAGAAACAAAATTACCTTTCAGGAAATGAGGGTATTAACTCATCAATGGCCTGAACAATAGTTGAACCAAGGATGTCATCCTTAGAAGAGGCCATTTGTTTCCTTGAGACTGTACATATAGAAAATGCATCACAAACTATTTGTCAGCTAACAGGTCACGCTAGTTCTCTTGCCAATGAAAAAGGAAAAGAACATATAAAATAGAACTAGGATTGGTGGGAAGAAGACACAAGATCTATTTGATCAATGATTAGTTAATACTGTTAATTCATGAGGATTTAAAGGTAACGATTTAAAATAAATAACATAAATTAATAAAATACAGAAACTGGAGAGATGGTCAGTGCAAGCACAAATAAGTGTGTATACATATATTTTTCTCAATCAGGTTCCTTCTCCTTGATAAAAAAGATCTAAAACCTGTGCAGTCTGACTGTAAAGCAAGGAAAGCTAACAAGAAGGAAGGTCAAATTCGAATGCTCGATGGCTCCCACATGCGGTTATTTAGAACCTCAAGATGTTCAGATTCACTCCTAACGGAAGTGTCTTACTTCAGTGAAATGAGTTACTTTGTTTATTCGTAGGTGGCAATGCTAGGCTACCAGTTTTTGGCTCTATGCAGTAAACTTATTATGCACTCCAGGCCAGGTTTTTATGATAAGTCGAAAACAAATCAAAATCTTTAGAGAGAAGATCAAATTTTGGGACTCAAGTTAAATTATTGTTTAAATGTGAGTCCTCTTTGACAAGGGTTATATTCAACATGATTTAGACATCTAATGAATATATAATCCACCTTTTCCTTAATGATGCTATGCATCTTCTTCATTTGATGCAACATCTAAGAACCCAAGGTATAATCCTATGTATCTCAATTCTTCTCCCTCTTCATTTTCTTCCTTGTGGTTTCTCAATATTTGGCATAATCTCTGAAATCTGAAGCTTAAACTTGTTTTCTAGCCTCTTTTCCCACAAGCATACCATAATTCCCTCATGTAAACTTTGCTTCCCTTAAAATCTTACTTTTGTAAATCATTATAGGACTATCTGTTTTCTTTCAGGCAAAGCAGCTAATTAGTTTCGCAAATCATTACAAGGTAACGCCAACAAACTAAAAGCCTACAAATCTCCAAGTTATTCTTTATTCATTTTTTGAAAAAGGACACCTTAACATGCTGACCAGTTACACAGGGACAAATCTGCTTTCATTCCAGCAAAGCAACTTGTAATTTAGACACATAAGGAACCAAGTCAGGCAACCAAACAGACAATTTCGTCAAGTTCAGACTGCTTCATCAACTATAGAAAAGAATGAATCCTGAACTCCTTTTTGAGAACCTCTGAAGTTAAATCTTGCTAGAATTATCCTTGTTTAGAGCACAGAATACAGTAACGCCATGCAGCAAGCCCAGAAACTATTTACTCCATGCATTTCACCACATCTACAACTTTTCTCACAGATAATCACTAAAGAAAATCTGAAAACAATAAGCTAATCGATATCAAGGTAATTTATTAAGCACAATGAATGTGAATGAGATATATGGTCTCCATACCTTCAGAATACTGAGGAACTGAAACACGATTTCGGAGATATGATTTGTCACCTTGATATAATTCTCTGTCTTCAATCTTAGAGTATTCATCCAATATACAACCAATTAAATCATATGCTACCATAATAGTCTTGTCACAAGCATCTTGGACCTCAAGGTATTGATTAACTTTCTTGCTCTGGTTATTGACCCCTGAGAAGTTCTCGGAAAATTCATATTTTGGGATTTCTGCTGAGTTAATTGAAATTTCTTGACTTTCAACGTCATTCCAACTTGAATTTTTATCCGGTGAGATAGGTAGAGTAGATACATTTTTCTTAGCTGTCAACGGCATATTACTACAAGCCATTCTCAGGTCCCCAGTACTTCCTGATGGGTGCTGATTTCTATCCATGTTTTGCATGTCACCAGACATCTTTGATTCTAGACATGAAGTGGAATGTACCAAACGAAGAGACTCGACTGACTCCACTCCATTAATATGAATAGGCTCTAGAGTGACATTTAAGCTTTCATTAGGTGAAAGCAATGGGGAACAGTTATCTGATTCACTTGTAGAGGCAGGTGAATTTCTCCCCACCGGGTTGATCTCACCGATACTTTCCATTTGGTCATCTGGATTGTGCGAACCAAATCTATAAAGTTGAGGAAGATTCAACTCTTCTTCACTGTCATCATCAGAACTAGTGGTCATTTCACTTTGTTCAAAACCCTCCATGTAAGCATCGGCAAAATCTTGGTCTAGTCTATGTTCAGAGAGAAAGTCCCATACAATTTGTTTTGCCTGAGCGCTAGCAGTTAATATACACTCTACCTCATTTTCTATCTCCTCCTTCATTAGTTCATGAGAAGATGAATGTACTTTTGAAGATACATGTTTTCTTCGAGATGGAAGTTGAGATCTTCTATTGATAATGGAAAGCGTTTCAAGTAAACAATCTGGGACATTGTCCATATCACTGCACTCAAATAGATAATCAGTCAGTAGATTCCTTACTGCCATGCGGAAACTTCTATCTGATAATTCAGTACTAGGATCCAGCAAAAACTGTAATTTCTTTAGCTCAATCAAGCTCACTCTCTTTACATCATTTAGTAACCAGATAGCCTTCACAATATCATTTTGCAATGCTTCTGTCTCTGGTGAAAATTTCCGAAAGTCTATTACAGAAGGACTGTTATGTATTAGCTTTAATGTCAAGCCTGATACTGCCAATGCACTGGCTAATGGTTCTGGGGTCTCATCCCCTTCATCGAGTTCCAAGAGCATTTTCATGCACCTTTCTCTTACGACACTGATTAAACGATCACGTCCCCAGCCAGATTTAGGAGGCTGCATTGTAGGGCTGTATCTAACACCTCTCAGCTTCCTATGCATTGCACTCAATGTTCTGAAAGGCATTTCCTCAAGTCCATCCAGTACCTTTATGGCAGCAGAGCGATAGGATTTCGATTTCGTATCATTATACAAATCAAAATTTTGTATATCCTCTTGAGCCAACTGGTGTTCCATTTCACACTTACGAACACCGAAACCCTTTTCAACAAAAGTTTTGATGTTCTCATAGCATACCTGTGATTATGGTAGATTTAAAAATAAGGCAGAATAACCTAAAACAAATACATAAAAAATCCACCCACCCACCCATCCCCAAGAGAAAGGAAGAGAAAGAATCACACATGCACGTGTATATCTAAATCGCTCTTTTCTCAATAAGAACAAAATTAAATCACCCTACTGAGTGCTGATTTCTGAAGGAGAGCAAGTAAAAATGTTGGGCATAATTGCATGTCAACCATGTCACAATATGCTTGACAAACGCTTATTTTATTAATGTTATCTCCCAATGGACATTTAATCAGAAAGATATAAAATTATTGAACGCTTGCATACTTAAGTCGCACCAAATACAATAACATGGAGGATAATTGGATAATGACCGATCTGCCATGTAAAACCATGTGTGACAACAGACATGCATATTAATTACAAAGCACAATTGGCAAGAAGTATAGTCCTACCAATCTTAATGTCAAAAGAATATTTTGGTGTACATAATAACTTCACTGAAATAAATGAAGAAGAATACTTCAGATCCCATGGCCCAATACATCCAATTGCAAGGACAGCAATAATGATGACACAAACTTATTGCATTTCTCAAAATAAAAACTTACCTCATCTTCCCTAAGCAGCGACTCGGGCAGAATCCTGCAAATACAAAATAAAAAGTTAAACAAATTACCTTAAAATCAGTAGAACAACACAAAATATATAAAACACCACCAGTAAAAAAAGGAACAGAAGAATACACACGTGTACAAAAAAGCAGGATCAGAAACAGTCTACACTCATGAATCCGGATCAATGCTATACCTTGTCACATGGACTCGGATATTGTGAAAGGAAATGCATGTTTGTCCAAGTGTAAAACTCGTTAAAATCATTTGGCATGTTGGATTCCAAAGAATCATCTAAAATAATTGGCTGTATGCACCAGGGCATATCTTGAAAAAATGACATTATGAGGTATGGTGTAAGATTGTGAGTGCATAAGAAAACACTACATAATCTGCTGAATAAAATGACATTTCTCCAATAAACTAATAAAGTATGTCTTGCATTAAAAGGTAGATAGTGATCAGTACAGAACTTATGCCCTCTACTAAGGACCTCCTCTTCCAGTAACTACTAGATGTTGCAAGAACATGAAAATCTAGACTGAAGAAATGATAAACAAAGTTTAAAAAATCTGCAACCATTCTTCTATTGCAGTCTTAGACTCTTCATGAACTAGCCCTATATCTTGGTATTCAATGTATGAGCCAATGCCATATCAGAGCCATCAATTTGACAATCTGACAAAGAATCCATATGTATACACCTTTTTTATGTTGCATTGAAACGGTAAACTGTCAGACAATTGGAAAGACACGTCACAGATGCTATTTGAAGGTGAAGTAGAATGCCCTCAACTAGAAAGCTTGATGAACTAGGAGAAACAAGGAAAGAGACGAGTTTGCCACTGCATTCGATGCTATTTTAGATACTGCCTCAGCTCATAGATTTTAAAACAATAGTAGCAAGTATAGCACAGAAAAGCATGTAAACACCAAAATACATGCTTTATTGAATTTGTGGGAAACATTTTACTGACTGTATTTTAGTTTGGTTTAGTATGTTAATATTTCATTCACTGCCAAAAATGCATTTGTTGCAGATTATATTTATAAGTCTTTATCTGAAATTGCTTCAATGGTGATGCCGAATTCTTGATGGAAATAAAAGTTGATTAGGAATTCTAGTACTATAAACTGCAGAAATTTCGGTTTTGCTAAATAATTTTACACATAAAAGGAGATTTTTCATTTAGTATATAACATGTCATTTAATTCAATGAATGCCTTTGGTTTGTGCTTAAGACGCAAGAGCCCTTGCCACCTGGCTTCAAATCTTCATTCAAAACATATTTCATTTAGCAGCCTTGTACTCTAACATCATTTGACGCGTAAAAAAGAAAGGTGCACTTGAAGTTTCAATGTTTCTGCAAAGGTATACCTCGTTAACCAGAAAGTTTTCAACTAAAAGAAAAGATAATAATCCACATTCAATTTTTCACTCACCATATTCTTTTACAGAATAAAAGGTGAACTTAAACACTGTAGACTTTTATGCAGAATTATACATGATTTACTCTTAATAACACAATGAAATTTTATATATATCAATCAACATATGATAAACATAGCATAAATCTCAAATCCTGGAGTACCAAAACTCGAATTAATTGCACATATCTGGAAGAAATGTTATTTCTAAATAATCAATCAACCAAATGCCAAATTATAGATGAAAACAAAAAGTTTGCAAAAGGAATTACACTAAACAACTGGTACGTACTTATCACTGGGAGGTAGAAGTTCTTCTATTTGTTGTTGTTCCCTTTTGGACGAGGGTAAATCCATTAACCACCTGAGCAGTAATTTTAAGAATTTTTCATAAACAGGTTTTATTAATATAAACTAATAAATCAAACAAAAACAAGAAAAAAAAGGAGAACTTCACCTTCGTTTGAGCCTAAGGAGATTCTCCTGTTCATTAATTTGAGACATTATGGTTTTAAAGTCCTCTTTGTACCACTCCTGTTTAATTACTTCTTCAAAATGCTCCTCCATGCTACGTGTTTCTTTTCATTCTTCCTCCTTGTATGTTTATATGTGGGATAGAGATGCAGGGTCAGAAGGGTGACCTGCATTTGCCGTGTAAAGGTTAAGAATAAGACCGAAAAAGGTGAAGCAACCATAGGCCTTTCCAAAAGTTATAAAGTAGTTTCGGAAAGCTAGAGCAAGCTCACAAGCAAGCTGCTAACCTAACCGAGTGAACCAAAATGAAGAAAAAATTGCATTCAGCTGCAGCAACACTATTATAATGTAAATGTACATCATCAGTACCATTGGCTACAAAAGTGCTCACAGCACAGTAATCAGAGATAAGTCGATGGTGCGGAAGAATACCAACAAAGAGCGCAAGCAATAGATTAGGCTGAAACAATTCCAAGTCTATTATTGATAAAAGATAACAACCAAACGAAAAGTGGCTGCTGGCTGCAATTCAAGGTTTTAAACAGAAAGAAAAACGACCTTAAGCTAGGCAAATAGCATAATGAACCTGTTAGGGACATTATTTACTAAAGATAAATTCAATTGGAAAAACCAAACCAAAGATACATGCAAGCAATAAAATCCCTTCAAAGAAATTTCATAGAAACAACCTCCATTCCCACCAACAAACAAACACACAGCAAAATGGAATATAAAAAAAAATGAAATAGAAAAACAAGAAAGTAGCTATGGAGGAAAAATAAATATCATTATTCAAAAACTCTACTGATATTCAATGTGAAGCATATAAATTAAAAATAAAAAAGTATCATAACAGGTTTTTTATTATTCTATTGTCCATTATGATGGATAAACCAGACGTAATTAAAACTCCATAACAACAATGAAAACTATTGCAAAAATTTAAAAACAATAAGAATGCCTAGAACAAAGCGAAAAGAGAAAAAAAAACTTACTTCGATGGAAATTATTTACCCTCTCCAAGAATAGCAACTTGTCAACGGCCAGCGAAAACTGCGGAATCTGCGGCAATATTGACAGGAGATATGGAGTCGGAGATGCGCTCGTAATGCTAGAAAGAGAGATGCACAAGAAGCTGGAAAGAGTGGCCATTGACCAGTATTAATGGGAAAAAAAGGAAAAAGATAAAAAAGATAAAAACAAAAGGTTTAATTACCCATTATAACCTTTGAAAGAAGAGATTCAAGAAGAAAATTAAAAGGTGGCATATTCGAACTTCAAACTTACAGACGGTCCTGCTCACCTTCTATTAAAGTCTGGGGTCGATTTAATAAGGTCAACTTTATTAAATGAAGAAATTCAATTATTTATAAATTGGTATTTATTTTTTTATTTTACCAATATGGGATAACACATTTCAACAGGCCCCCTCAAGATGGTGGCTCACTTGTGCAAACCAATCTTGAAATCCACGTGGGTGGCTTTGATACCATATTAAAGTTTGGAGTCCATCTTAATAAGATCAACCTTATTAAGAAGAGAAGTCCAATCCTTTATAAATTGGTATTTATTTCGATATTTTATCGATGTGGGATAACACATCCCAACATACCTTCTTCCTCTTCCAAACTTGACAAGTTTGTGTTTGAAATCTTTAGTATTTCATTGTGGTGAACGTAGAGATCTAATTTTTTTTGCCATTGAATTTGTTAATTTATGATAATAGTACAAATATTAAGGTGTGTTTATGGTTAAAATGAAAGAAAAGTCGAGTTTGAGGTTAAAATAAGTGAAAAATTAGTGTTTTTTAGGTAGAGCTTGCTGAAAATGCAAACCCCATCACTAGGTGATTCTAGACCCGAATGTTCGAATGAATTCGACCTAGACGTCCAAGTTCGGAATCTCTGTGACTATAATTTAATTATTTCAATAATACTTTATTTTTCATGTTTCAGTGTAATAAATACTTTATTCTCTTTTTTTTTGTATTTTTTTTTTTTTTAGATTTTTAAATCTGAATCTTATAAATATTTTAATTTTTTTCTCAAATTTAAATTATTTTCCATCAATTATTTTTCATTTTTGTTTTTTGCTTTTTTAGAAAATTTTTTCCATATTTTAATTTAATATTTATTTTTCTTTTTAATGTGATGAAATAAATTTATTTCTTGCATAAAATAGAATATAATCTGATCAGTTAAATTTTAACATATTACGTTTTATTTCATAATCTCTTATGTATGGTTTTAACGGGTAGATTCGCCACAATTGGGTCCTGTCTGGGTTGGCCCCTTTTTTTCATTTTCAATTTTCATTGTTATTTTTTATTTCTTTTCTTTAATCTTAAAAGTTATATTTTTTCAATTTGTTTTTTTATTTATTTTTCTTAATTTATTTTCTTTTCATCAACTTTTTTTTTTTAATTTTTGTTTTTTCTTTTTGATGTGTGATGAAATTAATTTATTTCTTGCATACAATATCATATAATCTGATTTATTAAATTTTAATATATTACATTTTATTCTATAATCTCTTGTATATGATTTTAACGTTTACTATTTTTACACGATGGAATATCATCTGAGCAACGGTATGAGATATAATACCCACACCCGAATTTCTAGATCTAATTATTAGAATTGAAAATTTAGGGGCTCATTTGATGGTTAATCCACATTCTAGGATCTTGTAGCAAACTTACTATAAATGTTAATTCTCACATGTTTTTGTTTTAAAGAAAAGTTGAATTCTTAGTCAAACACTTATATAGAAAATACTTGATATATATGTTTTTTGTCATATTCCTGATTAAACAAGCATAAGGTAATATATAGTGTGAACTGTGAATGCATGAATATAGGAATGAGAGAGAGATTATTGCGCATTTAACAAATTTCAAGGAATAATTTCCACCATCATGGGATTTTCCTTAATGATGGATGTCTTGTCTCGTCCTATTTCAAGCCACTCATTCGCATTCACATTCTATTACTCACTATTATTTTTCAATCTAAGTAATATACAAATATATACGTTCATAAGCCGAGGTAGAAATTATAGAGGGATCAAGTTTCTATTACTTTTTTTTTCCAAATTTGACTGTAAGTACGCTGCCTATGTTAGTTACTATTATGTTATGAATTTCAAAAAAATTATTATGGGTCTCATATGTTACAATATGATTATGATTATATTAAGGGAATCAGGGTTTAGTAGCACTACACATAAGAATTCTTACCACCTATACTCGTAAAACTAGTGTGTCTCCATTATGTTGATTATGATTATTATGCTTCTTTAAGTTATACACGATAATAATTCATGGCGTACTTATTGAGATTTTATAAATCTCACTCTATCATAATTTTCCATTTTAGGCAATTGATTGTTTGAGGCAGTCAATGTAGAGATGACAACATACTAGGATTTATAAATTATTTTGTATTTGAAACACAACTTTGAATTTTCAATTTAGTTGTTATGTTGTAATTATTATTTTTATTTATTTTTCATAGTTACATGATAAAATCAAAATTTATTTACTTATCAAAGAAAAATAAAATTATTTCGTGTTCTTATTTTAGTTCTTATGAAATAATTAAGTTTTATTTAATGACACTCAAATAGTCAAGGATTCGGGCTGTCACGGTTGGTATTAGAGTTAAGAGTTTTTAAATCGGTCCTTTAGACTTAATATATATTTTCAAGATGTTGAGCTTTACAAATTTTTTGTTTAAAAAATAGTTTGTTACTGTAACACGTAATTCATCGGTAATTGTGACATAGTTAAAAAAATTACAAAAATAAAAAATAAAAAATCCAATTAATGGGCTGTCCCATTTTGTGTAGAATATGTATATTTGAGCTTTAATTTGACATGGTATTGGATTTATTTTAAGAGTGCCTTTAAGAATAGGTGTATTTAGTTGGAGTTTATTATCTAAATAGCCTAATGCTATCTAACCAAGAATAGGTTTGGGTCCAATAATTAAGATAATTTTTTTGAAAATAAGTTAATATCTAAAATGAGAATTTAAGTTGTTCTAAATCACTAGCCACTATGCCATTTTCCATGTCTCGACTTCCTTGAACTAGGTATGCATATACTTTAAGTATTCATGTCATCTCACTTATGAAAACATGCTTATTACGTAAAATAGCAATTGTAAATATCATGAAAAAATATGAATATAATTGCTATTTTATTTAGGTTTATTATGCATAAAGGTCAATAATAATATGAAATTTTATATGTTATAAGTGTTTACTATTATGTTATTGATAGAAGACCTCAATCTTAGATTTTATACTAATGTAGAAACCATGAGATGTATAGATGGTAGCTATATGATTTTAAATGCATGTTAAATTTAGTGGGAATGACTTAACTAAAGATTAAGTTTGCAATAATATATAATCATGCATTACATGAATAAGAGTAATAATGAATCCACGTACAATAATTTATCCATTTGTCACTACCTTTGTAAAAACAAGGGAAAAACTGTGGATGGTTATTCATACGTTTATTTGAAAGTTTCAACTTTTGGTTCGAATATTCATCCCTTTATCATTATCTTTGTAAAAACAAGGGAAAAACTGTGGATGATTATTAATACGTTCTCTTAATAGTTTCAACTTCTGATCCAATAATTGATTCTTTTATCACAACCTTCGTGTAAAAAAAAAAGATAATAACAATAATAATAATAAAAATTGAAAAGTTCATTTGGAAAGAAAAGTAATTTACGTTCTTTTCTTTCTAATAGATGGTGAGTGGACAAGATCAAACCAATCGAACTAAGAGGCACAATTATTTTACTTAGTTGCATAGGAATTATAAGAAAAACCCGAACCCGGTTTGATACAACACTTAGATGCCATAGAAAAGATTTACTGAGGGGTAAGAGCAAATGAATATCAATTTCATAGGGATGAGATCGTGATTACCTTGACTGAACACTTACTCCTTACTAGAGGCAATTTATCAAGGGAATCGAAGAATCGAAGAGATCTTTGACTACCAGACCTCTCCCAATCTACTTCTCTGATGCATGAGGGAAAGGTAGAGGGTGAATCGTGAAGACATTAGGATACCAATAAGATGCTAGGCTATAAACACAATTTGGGCAACGTCATGACAATATCCGAAGTTGATTACGAGGGAAATTATGTTGAAGAAGACCCGAGTGAAGAATACAACCCGGCATCGTATTCCGTGATTGATCAAAAATCAAATCCCGAGGAAAAAGAAAGTGAGGCAAATCAAAGGGAGGGTACTGTGAAGAACTATTAGATGATGCCTAGTTTACTTTACGTTTTTCAATTTTTGAATTTTAGCTAGTTTGGACACTGAGTATGCTCGGTGGTTCATTATTTATGTGAACTTATGAATGTTTATGAATAAAGCATGCTATTCCTTTATGTGTCATTTCCTCAATTTGACTTAATTCTAAAGAGTTACTATAATTTAATTAAGGCTATAGCACCCCGAAGCAGAAAGACTAACATTAGCAATAACTAAAACCAAGAGTCCACACAACCTGTTCAGACTCAGCTTAATACGATTGACCCACAGTTTGCCCAGCAGCTTCTTGCTATGATGCAAACTTTTGCACAAGCTGTGATGCCGCCGCCACCTCCTTAACAGCCAACACCACCATCTTATCCGCCACCTTAACCAGAACAACATCATGAAGCTGCCCTCGACACAATGACCACTGTTGCTATGGTTGAGCAGTTCAGGAAATAACATTCTCCTATCTTTCATGGTAGTACAGTCCCTTGGAAGCAAAGGATTGGTTGGTGGGTATAGAGAGGATTTTTTAACTTAATGACTGCCCGAAACGTAGAAGGATGATATGTGCAACATTTATGTTACGTAAAGGTGCTAGGCATTGGTGGGACACCACTGCCAGATCAAAGGCTTTTGGTCATGTTTGGATGTAGGGTGAATTCAAGGAGGCCTTTTTGAAAAAGTACTACTCCATGAGAATCCAAAATTAGAAAGAGGCTAAGTTCTTTACTTTGACTCAAGGCTCAATAGCGTTGATCAAGTACGAGTAGAAGTTTGAAAAATGGGCTCATTATGCTCCTGAGTTTGTGGATACAGAGGACAAAAAGGCGAGAGATTTTGAGCAAGATTTGAGGG